GCATTCCTGTTTGTTGGTTTGTCTGTGCTTTATTTAGTGTGAGAAAATACTGTGCCTTTTCACTCAGAGGAGAATTGTCATCTTGTGTGTGGCGTGAGATGCACTGGCTGTTGGTGGTGGACATTTGTGCACCTGGATCGAGAGGACATTCCGCTTGGAGATGAAGGGTGTTCTTGTCTTGGTTGGATGAGGTAGCATCAAGCTGCAGAAAGGTTTTAAACCCATCTTTCTTCTTAATTTTGGAACTTGTCAAGGGAGAGAAGAAAGGAAGTTAAATTTATCAGTGCCCCAAAAAACCAAGAGTCACAACAGATTTCCTAGGACCTCAGTAAATCAGTTCTGTATAGCCTGGCCCCAGCTGGCTTTGTAGCTGTAGCCACACGAATATGCCATCACTGTGTTACAGTTCCTTTTGTATGTGCAGCTATGCTTGTGCTTCCTTCTGGAGCTTTGCCTTGGCTTCGCAGCAGCAGTAATACAAACAAAATGTGTTCCTATTACTGGCCTTTCTTTCTGACTTGAGAGAAGCAACGGCACTGATATAGTTTATTTTATGATTCCATGTTGTCTATCCTGATTATGCCAGTATTTCTCCTTGAGTCAAACCAAGGTGAAGCTTTCCAAATCCCCATTTTCCCTGTAGATGGCAGGAGACCATTGCTTGCTCTGTCCTTGGATCAAAATCACTAAGACCTGTCAGACAATTCAGCATTTTTTTTTCCAGCCTAGCTATGATGGCACCTTATATTGCTGATTTTCATAATTCGTTTCCCAGATTGTTAGCTGGCAGTTCTTAGCACAGATACTATTTTAATTTAGATCTGCATTCTGATAAGTGAGTGGCAACATATCCTGGATACCAGCTACTCGCAACTAGGTTCTTTACCCCAATGCATCCCAGCTGCAAGAGCATCCTTAAAGCTGCTGGCAGCGTGTATGATAGAGGGAAGTTGACTGTATGACAGCCACTTCATCTCTGGCATCCACCTGTCTTGGTGTCTTGCTTACCACTTCATGTAGAGATAATAAAATGAGAAGTTGCTGTGCTGATTGAGGGGCGTAACTAATTCCGTGTGTCCAGCGAGCTCTGGAATTCTGCAACCCAGATCAAGAGACTCGGGCTTCAATTGACTTAAAAACCCTTGTAGTTGAAATGATGTGTCTTTCTCTTTTTATACTTTCGGGAGAGAGGCTGTGTGACTTGGGGTATGCTTTACAGAAGGGAGAGAGGTATGGACTGAGGCAGAAATACCTTGGGTAGGTGAACCCATGGTGCCGGTTTTGTGTTGATGTTTTTTCAGTGACATGAAGAGGCTGGTTCTGTAAGGTGCTAGAGGGAGATCTCATAGATTCCCAAACATTGATAAGTTTCTGTGAAATTCCTCAGCTGCGTGGGGAGGAGCCACACACCTTCCACAGTCAGGCCAAGCTGGAGCAGAGTTTCAACCAGGCATTTGTAGCACAGACACGTGGGCATTAAGGACCATACATTTCAATGACATCTTGGATGTGTACTGTGAAGGGACTAAAATATCAAGGAAATTGCTGGGTCTGTGATTCTTAATGCACAGAGATATGAGTTTAGAAACCTGAAGCTTCATCTAGGAGGAGAATGAGAACTTGTGCCCTGGGGACTGCAACATTGTTCGCTCAAGCAGAGGAAAGAAGAAAATAGCTGAGTGGGTGGGATTTTCCTTGAGATGTGGGGGAGAAAAAGAGAGCGAGAGTCTGCCTGCTTCTGCAGCACAATCAAAGAGCTCTGCACAGACTTACCTGACGGTTTTCATATGAGTTAGAAAGCTTAGTGGAAGTGTGCAAAGGCAGCCGGATCTCTATGATTATTGGGACAGAGGGAAGTAGGAGACATCTGAAGAGGAAGGTGGATGAGGGAGGAGTAACGAGGAAGTGGCAGCTGAGGCGGTGGTATGGCAGGCAGGAGGAGCACATCACTTACATCCCCAGAAGAGGTGACTCTCTTTACAGACAGCTGCTGTGGTGAGCCTGGATATGTTCATTTCATTGTCGCTCCTTTACGTAATCTGTGTTCTGAATGAGTCGATACCGACTGTATAGGCTCTGTGGCTTTTCTCCTGCCATATGTCCTGTTTTTTGTGGGCTGCATCAATCTTTGCTGTTAGATTTTTATTTTTTTATCTCAATCCTGACAGTAAACTGTAATTTAGTGATAGTGGTGCTGAAACTGAAATGCCTTATGAGGATACTAGTTTCCTGAACACCTAAAAAAAACAGCAGCAAAAAAATATTATCTAGTTTGCTTTGGGGTCCAAGCACTTTCAAAGTTTTGGTTGGGTTTGTTTTGTTTTTTTGTTTGTTTGTTTTGTTTGTTTCGGTTTTGTTGCTTTTTTGGTTTTGTTTTGTTTTTTTTAGGCTTGACTATAAATAGCCCTCTAGATCTGGGCAAAATCAGTTCGAGAATAGTACATGGCATTTTAGGGGGTATGAAGGCTTGAAGTGGTACCTGATCCTTAGCACTCCTCATGAATAGCACACAGGTTCTTGGCTGCTCCATGAAACCCATGAGGCCAACGAAACCTGTGGAGGCAGGATGTGTTTTGTTCCATCTTGAACCTGCTAGTTTCAAGGGGGTCTTATAATGAAATGAGATTGTGACAGGTGGAGGTTGAGGATCTGGTGAAGCCTCACACCTTGTCAACAGCGATACCTTTATAGCACCTCCCCTGTGGATTTGACATCTAGTGCTACTCTTGCATCTTACACCTCTTGCGTGTTTCTACTTGTGAGATTTTTCCACACCAGTGGAGAGATCTAACTTTTCTCTCTCCTTTTCTTCCTTTTCCAGGGAAGCTAGCAAACGACAGGCTACAGGGAGCAGCATTGCAGGACAACCTTTTTCAACAAAGAGGAAGAAATTGCTGTGCTCAGTTCCTCACCTTTCAGCAGTGACTCTGTGATGCAAGTTCCAGGAGTTTCTGTGACAATCTTCTCTATGGCCCCTTCTTGCTGACGTTTGCCCCAGTGTTGGGCACAAAGAGGAAAGATGCTGAAGAATGGGTACCCCCCTTTTGGCTTTTAGAGCATGGGCACTTGTGTAAAGGTATGTGATTGCACTTTGGTTGGAGGGATGGAATATCTGTAGAGGCCAGCAAAGGGGATTTGCTGGGCTGGAAAGTCATGGCTATTGTTGGGGGGAAATACCTCATTTAAGCTTTCTGCATGCTGATGTCCATTGCTGCTGCTGTTGAGATGACTGATGAATAACTCCCCTTTTGTGTTTGTTTAAAAAAAAAAAAAAAAAAAAGAAAAAGCAGCTTGAATGCACAATGTAGCTTCTCACTAACTGAATGGTGACACGGCGAGCTATATTGTATGCATTAGTGTATGCCAAATTGTTTGTCTTAATTGTCACACACGTTCCTTGCTGCTGCTCTTTTTCCATCTGTCAGCTACGTCTTATCAACCAAACAGCATGTTGTTGTTCTGGGTGTGGTCTTTTTACTACATGTTTGTTTAGCGCTCCCCTCAGTGAGAACTTGATTCTTGATTGGTGTCTCTCTAAAAATTGCTGTAATCTTAATAGTGTACCAAGGTTTTAGCTTGTGTGTTGATCTGTGAGAGTTTCAGCGGCGAGGCTCCACTTTGCAGAAGTGAGTAGGAACATACAGAGGGACTGGTTTCCAGTTACATTCATACCTTCCGTAGTAGAGTTACAGGGCAAAAAATGGATTCAGCTCTGCCCTAGAAAGATTTTGTTCTGAACAAATGGGGATGGTCTTGTCTGCAACCCTTTTATTCCATAGCTTTTTCTTCCACGGTTGCTGGTTGAGGGTCAGCTTCTGTGCATTTTGGTGGTGGCTCTGTGATGTGCTTTCATGGCAGACTAGAAGTTAACTTTGTGACTTGCAGAAGCAAGTAGTTGTGAGAGTTTAGATGAGTGGCTTTTGGCCGCTGCTGTTGAAGTTGATGATCCTGCAAAAAGTAGCTGCTCCTTGCAGTACCCAGAGCCTGCTCTCACTGGTTTCTGAGGATAATGTGTTGTCCCTTTAGATCCCTGAATCTGAATGGGAATCTGTAATGGAGGGAGAACTGTTCCTTGTAGCATGCTGTGCTGTTTGCATATTTCACAGTCTTATGGAATAATGCTTTAGGGATGTCCTTGGAGAGGAAGATGGATGATCGATAGGTATTTGTCTGAGGAATCATAGATTAAATTTAGGCCAGTGTGTATGAGGAAGAGTCATTGGACTGGACTTGGCCTATTTTGTGTTCTAGATGCAGCTGTGATCCTCGGCTGTGTGTCTCACCGAAGGGACCTGATGTTTTACATTATTGGTAAGTGAAGGAAAGGCTGCCACTGTATTTGTTGACCTCTCCGTAGGCTTTAGAAGGGTTTCCTGAAAGCCTCTGCTTTCACGTTAGTTCAGAGTCTACCTAACAAACATGAAGTTACTGTCACCCCGCATTGTGCCCTCCACCTGGCAGACTTGCCTCTGCGCCATTCTTCTTGTTCCTAAAGTCCTTCCATTGACCTCATTCCTAAGCCGTCCCCCCCTTACTTTTTCTTTCGAGAACTAGTGCAGGGTTGTTGCCTCCATGATGTTTCTTAATCCAGTCTTAATGTGATGTGCAGGGGTTGTGTGGTTATATGACTGTTCCCCTTAAAGGAATCTCTGTAGTTTTAATTTGCAACTCAAAGGGAATTCTGTGCTTCTGTTGGGATGTCTGCTAGCCATACCTGAGACTGTACCACCTTTACCTATTTCCTCTGTTTGCAGTCATTTGCAGAGTTTTAAGGGACTTGTTATTCTCTAACCTTACTTGTAGCATAACACAAACCATCAATGTTCTCACAATAGCTTCTGCCTTAAACACCTAATTTGCAGTTGAGTAGAATGTCATTAATAAAAGCATCTTGGGCTGATGCACAGGGGATTTTGGTGCCTGACTCAGCCACGCTGCTGCAACCACCCTCTGTTCTCTCCTTGCTGCAGGTGGGATCACGGTATTTGTGGTAGCTTTCTTCTTCACCATTAAGTTCCTCTTTGAGCTTGCTGCACGTATAGTCAGCTTCCTTCAGCATGAGGACCGGGAACGCCGAGGGGAGCGAACTATTTATGACTACGTGCGAGGCAACTACCTGGATCCCCGGTCCTGCAAAATCTCCTGGGATTGGAAGGAGCCCTATGAGGTGGGCCATAGCATGGCCTTCCGAGTGCATGTAAGGGAATATTTCTGTTTCCATGGAGCTTTGGGGGCAGGAACGGACGTCTGAGTTAGGGATGGGCTCTTCTACTGTTTTTTGTTGGGGCCAAGCTGGATGTAACTTAGAGGAGTAGGAAAGCTATCTGTTTATGTCTTCTGCCCCCTGTAACTGTGTTGCAGAGCTTTGTAAGTGCATATCTGAGATTTGCACTCCTTAAAATCTTATCTCCCTCTCTTTAGAATCCTCTGAAGAGCCGAAGGAGACCAGGCTTGTCCTATCTACTGCTTCCTTTACTGGGAAGTGAGTGGGCTGAGCCTTGCCTTCAACAAACTTGGTGCTATCTTTTGGTTGTGCAGCTGAAGTTGGGAGCGTGGGAGTGGGCATTTTACCAACCCAAGAGCTGTAAAGCTTCATGGCTGCTCCCCTTTCCTCCAAAATTGAGTGTTATTCTGTCTGAACTGGAAAAGCCTGCGAAGAATTCTTGTTTCCCTCCAATCCCAAAAGGCCAGTTCTAGGGGAATGGGACAAGTATACAAATAAGATGGGTGAGGGGCCTGAACACTGAGAGTTTGGAACTACGTGGAAAAAGTTTGAACAGGTTTTGCTGGGCTCATGTGCCCACCTTTCTGCCCCACCCTCCCCACCCAGAAGGGTATCAAAATAAGAAGAAAGGTTCAGCTAAGTTGCCATACCCATCCCTCCCGGGAAGGCAAGGAAAGCCCTTCTGCTTGAGGGTGAGGAGTCCTAACTCTGGGGCAGGCAGTGAAAAAGAGCTTAGGGGAAAGGGACTTGTTCTATTCCTGCTATTTAAATTTGTTCCTTTCACTTTACTGACTCTCACTCATGGCAGCTCCAGCAATGTGCCGTTCCACTTCATGCTTGTCTCCCATTTGCTTAGCCCTTTATTCATCAACAGTAGCTGTTGCACGCACTGGTTTCTCTCACTGACAGTCAAGATACATACTACTTCAGGCCCCACGCCCCCCCCTTATTTAGAAACAGGGAATAATAGTAACCTTTTGCTGACTGCAGGCTGATTGCAGATGGCAGGCAGGATCTGGCCCACAAGCTGCCAGCTCTTGAAGAGGC